CAATGAACAGATGTTGCAAACATTATTGGCCGAGATTAAAAATTCAAAAAAATAATTGTTTTTCTATTACTATCTTAAATAAACATAATCATGTATTTTTCTTAGTATTAGTGTTACAACCCGAATTGTTAACAGTTTAATGTTATCAGTTGCATGACATTCATTGTAAAAATAGTAAAATTTGGATGATCTGCATTATAGTAAAATTCGAATTTACATAGTAAAATTTTATAATTGAATGTCTTCACACCCTTGTTTGATACCTTTGCTGTGTAGCAACCACCACCAAATTTGAGATATAACTCCTTTATCAAATGTATCTGCTTTAAGCAAATTTTTAAGGCAGGTTGTTAATAATATCAAAAATAATCTGATCTTCAAAGTCAAAGTTTGCCTTTATATTCATAGATGTAAAATTTTGTTTGGTATGTCCAATTGCAAGTATAAGTAGAAATAAATGTCCAAATATTACATTATTATGAATATTTACAGATTTTTGATCATTTGGGTATAGAGTTAAAGCATTTTATTGGCTGCACATATTGGTGACTCATGTGACACTAATTAAAAATTTTTAAACTACAAAAAAAAATTCAAGACATGAATCTATCTATTGTAATTTGTTCCATTGTATTTATTTTTTTTAAGTTAATATATTTTTCAAAAGAATTAACTGATTTTGCTTGTTCATTGTATGGTCAATTTCCAAACTTGTTAATTTGGCAACTAATAAAATTAATTTCAGCATTTATGAAAAACTATTTCACCATTATTAAGAGAGCCAACCTCAACTAACGTGCTTACAATTGACTCAATTAGGTGATTTTTTGATGCAATTCATTTAGTCATATGAAAAACATATAAGAGACAAATTAAAAATTGAGATTTTGGGAATTAAGTCTGCCAAATTTATAAAATTTTGTAGGTTACACGATTAACATGCATAAAATCACGTGAAAGTCACGGGCGTGCATTTAGGGAGGTGGTTTTATATAGTTGGGAATGAAAAAAGACTGTGCAGTGCAGGTATGGAGGGGTGCACTTTATCTCTTAAGTCCTGAGCTTGGGAATGAGTGAAAGCATGCATTTAGAGAGGGTGTGCATTTAGGAGGGGTTGACTGTAAATGGCTTGCAAGGAAAGGAAAGACAGTTAGAAGAGGAAGTAAATACACACTTGAAAGCCTTAGAAGTGGCTGAAGATTGGCATAAAAGACAGAAACAGGAATTATTAGATCGAATTAGGCAATTAGATAAAGAAAATAAACAAACTAAAAGAATTAACTCCACAAGAATTAATAAAAGAGATCAATAAGTTAAAAACTCAATTGACTCAATTACAACACAAAATGGTCAATTAATTGCTCAAATTGAAGTTAAAGAAACTAAAAATGACCTTGATTGAAAATTAAAAATTAACAAAGTTGAAAAAAAAGTAATTATTTGTTTTATCAAGTTATTCTGCCAGTTTTCTTTTTTTTCTTGATTCTTTACTAGAATTCTCTAATACTCTTTTGAAAACTCTTTTCTCTTGATAAATTTCATAGGTAATCCTTTCTTTGTCTAAATATGTTTACAAAGATTTGGTATCTGCTAATTTAAAAATGTAAGGAGCAATTTTCTCACCTTGTTCCTTTTTCAAAATACTTCTAATGGTGCTGTAATTCTTGGGTTCCATAGTAGGCCTTATGTAAATGAGTTCCACATTAACTATTTTTGTCTAGACAAATATCATGATCACATTACATGATAATATAATTGTGATGTTAAAAAATGATATTGATCCCTGAAATCCTTGGTAATACCAATGTTCACCTTGTCTGGTTTTGTTGCAAGCATGCCCCATTTTAGGATTTGAAGATTTGTCAGGTGACATAGCATTTCCATATTATTTTTAAAAAATTATTATTTGACAGCCAATGTTATTACACTTACCAGAAATGACATGGCTTGACAATTAATTTCAATAAAAAGTTTTTTGATTTCTAGCTTCAGCTAATCAATCACAAACAAATTCACATTTTTTTATATTACTATTATGCAAATAATTTATTATATTGGCATTATTACTATAAATACCATATCCAAGACATTGGTCATGGTCAACCAAACATAGGTAAACGTAACAAAAATGATGATTATGATAATTATGTGGGCAAAAAAATTTTTTAATAATAATAATATTATTATTTTGTAATTGGTAAATCTAAAAAGCCAATCGAGAAATTGTTTATGAATTTTTTACTTGATGGCAGACAACTAGTACTTGAATTTAATATCAACAATAATTCTAAACAAAAGTCATCATGATAAAATAAATGTTCAACCGTTTTATCTTTTTTCCACTGAGATACTATACTATTTATTTAATTTATTTATTAATTATATGTTTACAATAAAGGAAAAAAAAAGTATTATAAATTAGTTTATATGATAGTTAGCAACAAAAAGATTAAGAGAATAAATTTGAGAAACAGCAAACCTTGAAGGTGAAGAAGGTGACTTTGAAAATGTTGAAGAATTATCATTGATATCTTTAATTTGATTTTGGTCCATTTTTTCAATGCTGCTACTGCAATCTATATACAATATCTTTATAACTAGAAACAATGTTATTGATAATTAGTTGGTCAATATTAATTAATAAAAATGATGACACTTAAAATCCCTTCTTTCCATCACACTTTGCTTGTTTTTCCCAATTTCTATTACTATAAAATTTTTGCTTACCATTTCTTATTTTTTCTAAATCATTATTATCTTGATTGAAAAGATTATTACATTCATTTGATAATTTGGTTGGAAATTTTTTCCATATTTTGAAATTTGTTAATGTGTTAGTTATAATTTTTGTATCCCAATCAAACACCCAAACCTAATAAATTTAAAAATTATTTAATAAATAATAATAATAATAATAATAATAATAATAATAATAATAATAATAACAATAATAATAATTTTTTATTTGATTACCAAAAGATATAATTGACTAGATTCGATTCCTTTAATGATAAATCTATAGGTAGCATGTGCTTTTACTGATTCTAATAGATCAAATGCTACAAAACTGGCGAATGGATATTGTTTTCTTGTCAGTCTAATTAGCATAATGGTATAAAATATTAATTATGATTGCAACTTCAATATTTATGTAGAAGATGGTGGAAGAAGAATATGACGAAAACTAAACTCTTTGCCTGTATTTATAAATTCAATAGTCGTCATATATTTGCTGAATCTTACAGCCATCAATGTTGGAATTGACAATGTTTCTTTTTATTATTATTTGTTTTAAAAAAAATGTTTATATAATTAATTTACGAAGAATTAAAAAAATTAATGTTTTAATTTTAATCACCTGAAATTTCTTCATCTTTCAAATTATTTGGATTATAATATAATCCCTCCCCAATAGGACTTAAACATCTAGAACAACAAATAGGTCTCCATCTTTTGGAAAGTCCTTTTGACCACTAAATCAAAGGCAAACATTACGATTAACTAATGAATGAATGAATGAATGAATGTACACTATTCAAATATTACACGCTACAATATTAGCATCATATACTGACTTAAGAGTACGTGTGTAAATATAATATATATAACATATATTTCTATTTGATTAATTATTCTAGAATTGTCAATTATAGACAAACAATTTTACTATGGTAATCTTCTTTAAACTCAAATAATAATAATAATAATAAATAAAACGTTACATCAATTTCCTTTGTACAGTCAACTAGTTTAATTAAATCCTTCTTAATATCTGTTGGATGTAATAAAAAATACGTGTTACCAACTAAACAGAATCTTTCTTTGGCAATTATTTCTCCCAATTGAGCTTGTTTATAATCTTCTTGATGACACATCCAACAGTCTACCAATTCCAACCAATGTTCTGATGGCATATCCATAATTTTTATAAATCCACCACCATCAACACTTTTCTCGTCATTCTCTTTCTCATTATCCAAATTATTGAATTGTGCATTACAACAACCACATAATATATTTTTCAAATTTTTTAACTCGCTTGCTGATAATGGTGGCATAACATCAATTGTTTTTGCCTGTTTTGCTGGTTTTTTACGAGCATAACTTCTAAGTTTGAGTTTAAGATCTAAACTGTCATTTGAAGGCGTAATTGAAGGTTGTTCAGATGTTTCTATTGTTTGAGAAAATTGTATTGTAGCAGTTCTTGATGTTGTTGATGGTGATGCAGTTTTTGTTCTATTAAATGATGATGATTCCCCTTCTGATATTATAAGTTTCAAAGGATGTATTTGAAGAGTAAATGCTGATGATGCATTTGGTAAACCAAATAATGTTGTAATTGATTTAACGTTTGATAAAATTTCTGAAAAAATGGGTAATTCTTCATTTTTACCCATTTTTAATTTTTCTCAAAAAAAAAAATGATAAAAAAAATCTCTCCAATATTTATTAATATGTAAATGTAAATAAAATGATTATCTATTTTGTCATATCACTCACTAATTGGGTGGATTTATATCATTACAACATTTTACCAGCTTCTGTGTTCTGATTCACAAACATATCCTGGAAGTTGGTTTTTTTGTAGAAATAATACAAAGTAAAAATTTTCTACTGTTTAGTTAGTTAAAATTGTCATGCCTAAACGAATAGGGTAAAATTCTGAACCATTTTCAATAAAAGTTTCATGCCACCAGTGGTGACAAGCAAAAGGTCCATAGTGTAAATTAAAGTCAATTATTCCTCAAAATGCAAATATTGGTGAAACTTCTTTACATTTAGATATTTTAAATAGAATTTTATATATGTACATTTAATATATGAATGTAACTAGCTATAAAGTTGATTTAATATAAAAGCACATTTGATATAAAAAATTAAATTTGAGAATATAATAAAAGATTTATTAACTCCATTTTTTATTATTCCAGCAGAACCATAATATAAAAATGGTATATGGAAACGGTCCAACAATACACCTAACACTAATATTTCAGTATTTACTCATTGTAGTATATAACCACTTCATTATCATGACCATGAACTCCTAGATGAGAATAAACAAGGTTAATATTTGTATTTAATATCCATCCTGTACCAAATGTTAATTTAATAGTAAAATGGTCATTATAATGATGCATGCCTTTGCTAGTGGTATGGTAGAGACCTCCAAGACTCATTTTAACATCAATAAATCTCACATGATTTAAATCACATACAGTTTTCAATTTACTTATGAACTCTTGATTGCTGCTGAGTTGTTTTAAAGTCTCATCAGTTGGTTCTTCCAAATTTACATTTTTAGCATCTCCTCTTACCTATATAAACGTCATTAATATAGTAATCCGAACAATATGACTGATGCTGTGATAACAATAATTTGGATCGAATATATTCTAAAGTCACTATATATAATGTTATAACGACCTTCAATAATAAGGAGCTGCTTTGTAATTTTCTTGCAATCTCTTCCCAAGGTTATTGATTTATTTGATTATTTTTTAATTCCATCATGGTTTTTACCCTATTTTAGTTGGGATAGTAAAGTCATTTCAATGTAAAATATATAGAATTTTGATGAATTATAATTTTTTTTAAATAATAATAATAGAAAGGAAAGGGCAGAAAAAAGTTAAATAGCTACTATTTCACCTTTTGCTTGATCTTTGACTTTTACCATTTCATCTTTGATTTTTACCATTTTATCCTTTGCTTGATCTTTTACTTTTAATCATTTGATGATTAACTTCTATTATTTTGATATTTGGCCTCATTAATTGGTTCACTAAATCTTGGTACGTAGAATGACCTTTACATAGCACATAAGAAGGTTTTGGTACATATTTTTGTAAGTTTAATTTTGAAGATTTAAAAGTGATAAAATAGAAAATAAGGAATGTTGAAATTCTTTTATTGTTGAATCACAATAAATCAATCACTAGAGTTTGGTGATGAAGTTGTTCTTTAAATAATTTTAATTTTTCAATTAGAGACGCAATCAAAACCAGAAAATTGTTTGTTACACGTTGTCCAAGAAAAGGAAATAATAATAATGTAACTGTAAAAAAAAAAATCTTAGTTCAAACACCAAATCAAAATTTACATTTTTATATTTTTTTATAATGTCATATATTGAATTATTACCACCAGAAAGAGAGGATTTTGTATTTAAAATTTATAAAGAAATGAGTGATAATGCTAAAATTAATTTTATTTTTTTTCATTGGTCCAGGAAAACAAGGAGCTTTCTGAAAATGAAAAAGAATTTTGTAAAAGAAGGTTTATTTATTGGTTTGAATTAAATAATGCAACATATAAATTGGGCAAACCAAAAAAATGTAACAAGTGTAAATTGACAAGGTATTCTGATAGATTCTGTGAAGGCTGTATTAGTTTACAATTACAGAGTCTTTTCACTACTTGGACATCTGGAAATAACACAATTGATGATTTTGTTCAACAATGTCAAATGAAATTATCTCTGCCAAAATATATTTTAGAATGGATACCTTTTGAGCAATTTGAAAAAGTAACAAAATTAACTGAGGGTGGGTTTAGTTCAATTTATACTGCTAGATGGACAAGAGGAATGATTAATGATTATGATGAAAATAAAAAGAAATTTAGTTATCTTGGAAGGCAAAAGATAGTATTGAAAAGTTTAAATAATTCAAGTAATCCAAGGAAAGCCTTTTTTGATGAGGTTGGTAGTTTTTATTTAAATCAAAAATAAACAATACTGTATTATATAATGCTAATTTATTTTATATTTATTTCAGGTAGTGAATTATTGTAAAATTAAATCAGGAATGATTGTTAAATGCTATGGTATAACTAAATTCCCAGATAATGGAAATTATGCAATAATTTTAAATTATTTACCAGAAGGAAGTTTAAGAGATTATTTACAAAAAAATCATTTAAATTTAACATTAAAAAATAGAATTAGAATCTTTTATTATTTATGTGCTGCATTAAATGCTATACACAGAAAAGGTTTAATCCATTGTGATTTACATAGTGGCAATATATTAATAGATGGAGGTGGTTGTTATATTACAGATTTAGGATTGTGTGGACCAGCTGATGAAAAATCATCAAATAAAATCTATGGAATTGTACCATATGTTGCACCTGAGCTATTTGGAGACAAAATTAATATAAAGAATACAAAAGAATCTGATATTTATAGTGTTGGGATGTTAATGTGGGAAATATTTGCAGGTTATCCACCATTTAACAATAGAGCTCATAATCATTGTTTAATTTTTGATATATGTGAAGGTTTACGACCACCAATATTACCTGAAATTCCTGATGATTATGCACAAATCATGCAGCAGTGTTGGGATGTGGATCCATCAAAAAGACCAATTAGTAGTGAACTTTTTGACTTTGCTATAAATAAACAAAAGGAAGTTTTTGATAATAACAATAGTGTTGAAGGTAGTATCAGTAGTAGCAGCAATAGTGTTGGTAGTGCTTCGCAACAAGTACACAAACCACATCTATATGCATATCATACAAGTAGAATATTAGATGAAGAGATTGCTAAATCTAAAGGCTTGAGAATTTATACAAGTAATGATAGTTTGTTAAATAATCCTGATTTTAACTCTTTTTTCTTAAATGATGATTTTAACAAGGGTGAATAAAATTTTCATTATTAATTGCAGTCCATTAATTATTACTAACAATACTTTTTATTTGCATTTGATTAATTAGATTCTAGTAATTAGAAGAAAGAATTGATTAGTGACTAATTTAATTTCCACTATAAATTTATTTGTTATCTTTTTATTTTATCTTTAATTTATTAAATTATAATGATATTTTGAAATAGTAAATTTTTTGCAGTTTTCTGATTCTGTTAAGTGGTAACATTGCGATTATGGCTTAACTTTTAGGCTACTCTTTTCAGTTAATTGCAAGTAATTCACAATAATTCAGTGTTTGCCAATTAATTAATTTATGAATTTACTTTGGTTCTTGATTACTTGCACCTAGATGAATTTGCAAGCACACTTAATACCAGATAATTGCAAATAAATAAAGATGGCCCTTTACAAAGTTCAAGGGCTTTATAAAGTTCCTTTTATTCACTTGTGATCAAATTATTTCAGTCATTTATGTTTATTGGCCAATTGCAAACTTGCTTTGGTTTATTTGCAAATCAACTTAAGTAGCTTGTTTAAAGCCTTATGCTTATTATTACAATAATACTACCAGTATTTCTTTGGACAATACTTCATTAACACTCACCAGTTAACCAACGTTAGTCCTAACTTTTGCCTGCTCATTAAAGCAAATAAACGTGGCTTTTTACAAAACTCCATAATTGTTACCTTTTACCAAGGCATTACGCTTGTTGCTTTTATCAAAGCGCTTTAAAAAAAAAGAAATAAAGACAATGTTTTTTTAAAAGTTTATTAACGATTTTTAAAGGTTTAATTTCATTTGATAAAATATCATTGATTATTCAAGCGAGGACCCAAGTTATTCACTACTCAAGTAGATGAAATCTTTGCTGATCACTACAAGATTATTTTGTTGTTGCAAAGTAACTTAATTAATATTATAAAAACTCCCACAGTAATTTGATAATAATTATAAAAGGCCTTTGCATAAAATTTTCATTGTAATCATTATAATGTATAATTTTATGGAGGTTTATGTGTAGAAGGCCTACTTCTACACTAAAATTGGTTGATTCTGGAACATAAAACACACAATTATTATTATTCAAATTCCTAATCATATGCATCATGATATTAATATTAAGATAACAAATGTTCAAAGTAAACAAGTGTGTGGGAACTGAATTGGTATCCAGCAAAAGAAAAATATAACTACGACTGGAGAGATTGGGATACACAGAATAAGAACATATATTTATATATTTATATGATTTTTTTGTAAGCTTATATTTTACTAGCTTTAAAGCAATTTTACTTGCATTAAATGTTCTTGCTTATGTCATTTTTGACTTAATGAATAATGGTTTTACAACTTTGGTAATTATAAAAAGCCTTTGTGTGTAAAATTTTCAATTATACACTAAAATTAACCCTGAACATAAAGTACTGAACCCTAGTCAACGATTTTATCTAACCTGATCATGTATCACGTTATTAATATTAATATAAGAAATATTCGAGTTTAGTAGTAAATGAGTGTGTGGAAACTGAAATTGTATTCAGTAAAAGAAAAACTTAGCTCCTGGAACAACTAATGAAACAAAGGAGAGATTGGGATAAATAAGAAAATATAAAAATAAAAGAAAAGACCTTGGAATAATATATATTTAGCCTTTAAAGCAATTTTACTTGTGTCATTCTTGACTTAATGGCAGTGAATTTGATGTAATAGTTTTACAACTTTAGTAACATTTCGTCAAACAATATTACCCTTATACCCACCCTGAATTATCCATTGCATTATGATCCTCAAGTTTAGGAAAGTGTGGTTAACCCATCAATACAAGTTTAAGATGATTAAAAGGTAATTATTGAATAAAGACAGAACTTTGAATAATAGCGTTATTGTTGATTAAAAAGTAATCAATTGGGACGTACCGCAACAAAGTGAACATCGTAATTGTGTCATCAGAGATCAAAATTGTTCAATATGATCAAGAAGAATAGGACAGATATAAATAACTAGTAATAAAATATCATAAAATACTCCAATTTAAGAATGTTTCTATAATTGTTGTCAATGACTTTAGATTGATCAGCACCACTAAACCAATCAACCATATCTAGCATAGCACCGAACATGATCAATTTTATTTGTTCACTATATCAAATTTACTTGGTGTACATAAAAGTTATTTTCTTTTGGTCTTGTGATCTGATCTTCAGATATTGTTAGATCTTTTATAGTCTATATAGTTTATCATAATGCCAACTAGTTTTAGATAGATATATTGGGATGTAATTAGTATATACAAAGCATTATCCCTGGAAAACGCTGTCAGAAATATTGGTGCTTCTCATATCCCACCGGTAAATGGCAATAGGACAACTGCCAATCATTGTTAATATTAATTCGGGATATGTTATTATTTTGTTCCAGAAGCCGTTTGAATGTTGAAATAAAATTTAATGTGTATTTATTTAGCCTTCTCTTAGCTATATATAACATTATTAGCACCATCCCAACGTCTGCGACACAGGCACAAAACATTATTTAAAGACAACTGGGATGTTTTAAACGAACAGACTTTAAACTATAAACGGATATATTTTTAATGGAACATTTAATGTATAAACATTTGTACTCTGCTGAACTATAATTCTAAATATATTAATACCTATAAATTTTTTTTTAATAAACTTGAAATAACAGGGCTATGCTATGTCTCAAAAGCCTATATCCATCAAACAGTTCCAACAATAACAAGGTATCAAATAAGATACTGTTCTCAAAATATTTTGTTATTAGTGAGGATTCAAATTATGCTATTATTTTCAATGCATACATTAAAGAATTTCTGACCAAGAATATCATCTGGTTACAGATGATTGTGTTCTAATTTTTATTAAAAACAAAAACAACAGAAGCCATCAAAATGAGAAAAAAAAATAAAAGAAATCACATTTAGACCTCTGCCTCTTGAAGGTTTTGCAAGTATCTATCAGCCCTCAAAATTTCCCATATATGATGTGAACCTTTGAAATTATTAAACGTCTGACAAAAGATCAAGCTAAATACAATTATACACGTATATAATAAACTTGTATCTATAAACAATTTCAATTCAAATTAAAAATAAAATAAAATAATCACAAAATATTAATTTGATGTAGACTTCTTTTAATATTTGATCTACATATGTAAACTTGATAAGTCGGTCATGTGGGGGTGAGCTCATATGACAGACTTATTGAATTAAATTACTTAAATATTAAGAAAATGGGGTGAAAATTTTGGCTGACTTATTGCGAGACTGACTTATCGAGTTTACATATGTATATTTTAACCTTGAAATTACACTATAGATCTTCCAAATCTTTATTGACGAATGTGAATTATTAATCAATCCAACATGGAATGCTGATTGAACCTTCTACTAATGGGTTTGATTTTAAAACTATGTATAGGATTCCCATCATCATAATCGAATTTAATTAGTTATATAGACGTTGATAATTAATTATAATGAAAATTAATAGCACAACACTTATTTAATAGCTTATTGGATTAATTATAATCATCCTTCTTATTAAAAAGCAATAATAATAATGCATTTAAATTGGTTGTTGTTTTAATAAATATTCTAATAAAAAATAAAATCATGTAAAAATATTTTTATTTGTAATCTTTATTTATTATTAATAAATTATTAAAAACTTTACCTTCACATAAACTTTCAACACAAACCAGAGCATTCAGAATTCGGTTTTTTACAACCACATCCACACAAAAGAACTCCATCTTCATCTATTATTACTGTATGCTTTGGTTTTGGAATATGAGGTGCAGCACAACATGATGTCTTAAGTTTTGATAGAACAGGCTGTACCTGAGGATTCAAGTCAACTCTTAATGCATGTGTGTCACATCCTTTACATTTACACCCACTACCACATCTACAGATTGGCTTGGAACCGGAACCACAACAATTTCCACTTTTATTGGCTGAAGGAATACTTTTAAATGGACTGTAAATTATATTAACCAAATCATCGGGTGTGCTACTACATATTTCAGCTCCTAAAACGCCACTCAAGTCTCCTGACTTTTCATCAGACCCTTCCATAGTATTACAATCTCGATTTGAATTTTCTGCTGATGAGATGAATTCATTTTCTTCGTCTCTACAACAAATACACCTATCACCAGTTAAACAATTGCATGGGTTTAATAATGACTGGACTATAAAAGAAAAAATTTGTTCGAAAATATTTTTTTTTCTTAGTAAATTTACTAGTAAATCTAACTTAATTTGTTGAATCGATTATTATTAATCTCTCACCTTTTAGTTTATCACTACTACTCAAATTTGAAACGAAATTATCAAAATTTGTAGGTGATTCAGAAGAATCATTTGAACTTGTTATTATTACGGATGACTTGGATTGTGACAAGGAAGGAGTTACTAAAGATTTTAATGAATAATAACCAACAATTACTTATGATAAATATATAAATATACATATATGTAAAATAAACAAGCTAACCTTCTTTTTTTCTTTCGTTACAATTACATTTAATATGTATGTTTTGGGTTTTACGAAGCTCACGACAATTGTTGCATTGAGTGACGGGACGACCTTTTCTTTTGATTTCAAGTAATGGCCTATCGCGATGTTGACATGATGTTGACCTATGTCCTTTTATACAAGTTGCACTTTTAAGAAATAAGTGAAAAGTAAAATTTTGAAATTAATATTACCCCTATTATCAATGAATATAACGAACATTTGCTATATTAAGAACAATAACATTTAAATGGGATTCGTTATAAATACCATGCATATTTTACACCGTCAATAAAAACCATTATTTAAATTTTAAATTTATCTAATATGACCTACATATAATATGGACTGTCTCCAGCAAAAATAACCTCCGAGGTCTTTTGTTCGAATTTGTTTTTTACATAATAACAATACTGTCCTATAACATTGTGAAAATATTAGACCCTATTTGCTTAAAAAATGGGGAATTATATACTTACTTTTATTTAAGGTAAATAATAAATGATCTACATGCCCTATTTTTATTGTTACACACAATAAATTTTTTTACGGCGCAGATCATCTATTTAGTATCCCTTAAACTGTCCACATTTTCGAATAAGGGAATTTCGAAAAATTTTATTGGTAAATTACAAAATTCCACCAATCAAATCGCACAATAAAAAATTTTATTATGAATATATCAATTTTTAAGGTAATGATCGACACGGGCATTGTAGACTTTTTACAGTTTTACAAAACCCATAATAATAATGGCCGAATTTCTATATATAGATCAATGTATAGAATCTCAAATATCATTTGTTAATTAGAAAGCGTGATGATCAGAAAAATTTTTTTATATAAAAAAATTTAATCGTACAAATTTGTACGATAGCCAATTTAAGGGATAGTTATGCTGTGGTTTCAGCAATTACTAAGGAGGTTTCGCCCACAACCTTACAGCAGGATGACTGAAAAACATAAGGAAATTTTCCCTGCCATAATATTATGTCAACCACCAGACACTTCTCCAAATAAAGCTTCAACTTTAGAAGATGTTTCCTTGAAGATGCCAATCATGTCAGCCCTCCTGCTAATTTTAGCTCTTTGATATGTATTAACATTTTCCTTTTGGACTTCTTTTGTTGCATGAGATTGGATTTCACCCCTATAAATGGAAGGTGTAATTTAAAAAAATTTTTTTTTAATAAAATTAATGGTGCAAGTAACTTACCACCTATCTATTAAAAAATCATTATTAAATATGAAATGATAAATGGGATACATCGTTGTCATCTTGAGGACCTCTTCAGATACACATCCATTAAGAACATCAGTGTTCATTATCCTGCATAATGGGTGAAAATAAAATTAAATTATTATTTTTTTACAAATAATGTCTATACTAGAAAATCAGTCACTTCAGGCAAACAAACTATTCTTAGTAACAACCCTTATAGTTTGGATATATGTTTTAATATTAAGCTAATCCAACTCCCAAATTATATTTAATACTTACACATATTGAATATAAATATTGAATTTTTTATACTTACCAACCAAATTAGTATTACAATCATTACTGAAATATTCTTGAATAATTGGAGATGGCTCTGGATTCCATTGGATTGCATCTAATCATCAATTTCTTTGCAATTAAATAATGATTCTCTTGTTAAATCAACAATTCCCCAATACCTAGGCCTGGAAAAACATAGGAAATATATATTAATAAGCAATTGTGTAATGTTATGAAAAATTACTGCAAACTTACATAATTATTCTTTACGATTTCGGATTTTTGATCTGTACAAATCGAACTTAAATAGATGTTAAATGTGCATGTTGAAATATGTATCTAAATTACCAAGCTATATTTTAAACCATGACCTACCACCACATGTTAAATATACATGGGGTGGTCCAGACCTAATGTTGCAAGAAAACCCCACAACTACTTTCCATACTCATCCCTTTTCTATATAATTTTTTATTATGATATTACTTAATATTGATATTATCTATAATCAATGTTATTTTTACTATCACTACTATAGATATTTTTATGATTACAATTCTTATTATTCTTAATAACACTGGTACTTGTGTTATTAGTTATTTGTTTTTTTATACTTGATATTTTTTTATATTCCTATTTCCTTCTCCCATTTTATCATCTCATTACATCTCTATCCAAATTTTTTGGCTGGTTGTTGTTATTATTTTCCCAACTAACCTTTAATTAATTAATTTTATTGTAAAAAAATAACAATAATAGTAAACAAATATTGTTCCACGTGACTTGTTACAATTCTATTCCTTTATGAATTGTTACACTCTTCAATTTTATTTTTTTGTAAAACCAAAGCTAAGAATGGTTGGAGTTTTTATGCAAATAGATTCTTTATTTGTATTTCTTTTGTCAAGATTTTTTATAATAAATTGAACACTGGCTTTCCATTCAAATGTTAAGGGTGGAGTGATCACCATATCAAAAATCAGTTATACAAAATGACTAAAACAATTTTATGTTACACGATTTTAT